ACATCTTAAAGTTGCCAAGGTTGAGAAACACTACTCTAAGGCATGCATTTGTGTGTGTGCCTTAAAGTCAATTTTAACCCCTGACAACTGCCTGGACAAGTCCTTGCAGTCTTCTTGGCAACATTTTCAGGAGTGGCTTGTGGCTGCCCTCTTGCTAAATCTGAGAAACAGAGATTGACTCCCAGTTACCCAGCTAGCTTTGCACCTAAAGCAGGACTAAAGCTCCACAATCTGCCATTTTCTAGCCTGTTGCCTTTAACCACTGGCTCTTTTCAAGGCATGCATCACCTAGACCAAATCTGATCTCATCAAGAATGGAATGGATGCCTTTGGTACACCAGCATAAACTGAACAAAGGGAATTCTTGCTACAGCTGCCATGCTAACCTGAATCTAGAAGGACCTCTAGACTGCAAGCCAGATTCATTAGGGCAGGAGAGTATGATCCATTCAAACGTATGGAAATCCTATTCCAGAACCAATCTGCCTTCTTAACAGTGTCTTCAAAGTGTCTTGAATGTCTCACTTTATTAATTTCCTTGAGCCCATTGCCAGTTCAGAACATTAACCACTTCCCAAGTCGTTAAAGAAAAAGAAATGATGTTTCTTATCTACAAATTGATGACAATGTATCCCAGTTCTCTAGTGATTATGAATTTCTAGCCTAATGCTGAATTGCCCTGAGTCCTTGCTATCCTGTGTGTGTGTATGTACTTATTTAATTTATATTGAAATTATATTAATTCTGGAATAGTACAGAAAATTACCTTTGTAAATTATGGCCTGCAGGCAACATGAGGCCAGTATCATGAGGACGACAGATAAAGGATTAGACAGTCCATTCCAGTGTGTGTGTGTGTGTGTGTGTCCCTGCATTTCCATCCATCCTACCATTCCTCCAGGAAAAGCTCTAAAAATCTACCACCTTTTCATGACTTCTAAATCAGCTGCCTAATGCTAAGGCAAGAGCTGGCTAGGATTCCAAATAATGTGTCCATATGTAAATTAGACTGAAAAAGAAATGAGACTCACCTACTGTATATTGTGGATGGTGTACTTTAACTTCTGTAAAGCAACCGAATCACAAGCATTTGAATGACAGAGCTTGTTTAGACTGAACTTCAGAAAGAAATGTGTAGCTACCAGATCTTCTCAGTGGTAATTAAGAATAAGTTGGAGCTTATTTGAGTTATTTGTTTGGATTAGGCTAAGGGTGTACTTAACCATGAGGCTGCCCAGTGTCAGTTCAATACTTTCACTACTACACCACACTGGTTCTTTTCAAAAAAGTTTTCCATCAAAGAAGGCTGCCATGAACCAATCACATCCATCAGAAAAAGGAATGATATGCTTTCTTTCAAACTGCTAGGTGTAATATTTTACTGACAGATCATTTTTTGATAATTTGTCAACTGTTATATGATACATTCATGATTGACTGAGAAAGAAATCTCTTTGTTTTCAAATAAGCTTATTATAATAGCGTATTGGTGTATGGTATGCTATGCTATGCTATGCTATGCTATGCTATGCTATGCTATGCTATGCTATGCTATGCTATGCTATGCTATGCTATGCATTACTCTACTCTACTTAGTAGACCTAGAATTGGAGCTGAATTGAAATAATTCTAAATATTCTTAATTGAAAAATAAATATATTTATCCAAAAGGAAGAGAAGCCTGAATTTAAAGTAACCCCCACCACCACTACCACAAAAGAAAGCCTAGACAGAGAAGATCTCAGCTGCCCCAATATCGTATTTTCACCAATTGTAAGATGACTGTCTCATTTTAAAGATAAGTTACTTTGGAGGAAAAGAAAAACAGAAAAGAACTGTCCCCAGAAAATGCAGAAATGAGGGAAGAGAAAAGAGGCCAGAGTAAAATGGGGGTGCATGTTTTATTTCTGGAAGTTTTAACTCATGACAAAAGCCAGGGAGAAAAAACACTGACTTCTGTGCAAATAAATAGTTGCACGTTCAGACAAGCCAGGAGGGAGCTGGGGAGACATCCTTTTCTCTTGCAGGATCTGAGTTTTAGGTTTCTGGCTCAGTTTGGTGTCAACGCTAGACACCCTGCAATCCTTGGTTTTCTTCTGGCAGTGGGGAGAGAAGAGGAAGAAATGTGGCTCAAAGTTCCTTATTGGCAGTATCTCGTGCCATTTTCACACCAATGATGTAAGGCATTAACCAATCTTTCTTGTGTCAACATCACCAATTTGTCTTACCTCTCATGTAAAGACCCGTTGGCCAGATTTGCAGGTCCACAGATGTTGATTGGTTTTCTCCGCTGACTTTGTTGCTGTCCCATTAGCACATCATTAGCCCGTGGGAAAATACAACACACAGGATGTGGATCTGAAGTCAAGGCATAGTTCCACAATTTGAGGACCCCTCATGAACTTTTCTAGGCTGATTGTCAACTTCTCCTCCAACACTCCATTTGGGCAAATTGCAATGTGATGTTCTGAAATTCAGAAATGTGGAAAGATGAATCTGCCATAAATGTGTAGTTATGAATAAAACAAATTATCTGAGTAGCACCAAAGATATTCATTCTGACAGGCACCATTAAACATGATATCAGGGCAAAAAAAACCCTAACAGATCTCACCATGACTGTGCAGTTAGCTCAGTTTTAAAGAAAGGCATAACTGAAATTGATTACCCACCAGGCAACCTTGTTTTCTATTTCACCTGGAAAAGTATTCTGGTGACCTGGGCTGGAGATGAAATGAGACCAAAAGGAAAGATGGAGGTTAACACAGCATTATGGTGCTGCTGTAATTGCTAGTGGACACAGGACCTCAGTCTCCTGTGTTTGACCTAATTTCAGTGGCCACCTGCAAGTGAATCTCCAGAATGGTCCACCCCACCCAAAGGCCATGAAGTCCTTGCACCTGAAAAGCTTCTTTCACCTCACAGCTCAAAGAGTGCTGCTTCCTCTCTTCTCAATTTCTTACTCTGTCCTATCCCATCACCTATTTTAAGACAAAAGGTACAGCTCCAGATTCTCTCTGTTTTAAAGACTAGCATTACGCTCTGGGGACTGTATGGATGTGTGAAGATAGAGGGAGAGTAAAAAAACAAAACCTTGAAATCAGAGCAGCTCCAATTAAGACTAGGATATAGCAGTCCAGAAAAGGTGGCTGTTGCCAAGATGTGAGCTGAAGTTTTATAGAGGACAAGCATTAAAGCTGCCCAACCAAAGATTCAGCTTTTACTTCTTCTGTCCTCCAGGTTATGATGATGGGAAGTTCTAAAATGGCGGAGTTGCTGCTGCAGAGAGGAGCAGATCCCAACCGGCCAGACCCCTCCACAGGTGCAACGCCAGCACATGACGTGGCCTGGGGGGGATTCCTGGACACTTTGAAGATCTTGTACCAGTGGGGGGCTCGCTTTGATCAAGTGGACAAATGGGGCCGCTGCCCACTAGACCTGGCAAAAGAGAATGGGCAAAATCACGTGGTTGATTACTTACAAGAATTATCTGGTTGAAATGTTTCAACGGAGTACATGAAGAATCAGTGTAAAGAATGGGGCGGGAAATGCCCCTGAAAAGGAATACAAAGAACAGCAATAAAGACTATGCTGGTCTGAAATTGTTGGACAGGCCTGGTACAACATTAATGCTAGATCTCCTTTTTTCTCAAGACTTGTGGAAAGACTAGAATGCACAAGCTCTTTCAGACTGAAACTGGGGTTTTCTATTTTTTCATGCTACCCTCATAAAAAACGCTGCCTGCACATAGAGAATTGGTCAGTTGGGACAGTTGTGTGCTCTCTCTTCCGTTTTGCCAGTCTTATACTGTATGTGCTAGGAGTTTCTCCCCACCCCCCAAACGGAGCTGTGACTCACCATAGAACTCTCCTCTACCTCCAGCATTGTAGAGCGTGGTTCTGATTGTCTTCTATTCATTTGTATGGCTTCTGTTCAAAATAAATAAATTATTCCTATTTGGGGAAGAGAGGGCTTGAGAGGTGGAAAGAGATTCAGATGAAGCACCCTTTCAAAGCTGCCTGGGAAGGTAATGCTCCCACACACCCTGACAAGGCTTCAGCCATGTGGAATAAATGGCCAGAAAAGGCTCTTCAAGGCTCAAGGGCAACGCAGCTTCCCAAGCCGAGTCCTGCCATCTTCTCACAAGCAGAAGAGAATGCTATCAACTCTGTGGTGCAAAATACTTCATGGAAGTGAGTCCAAGCCACTTCCCACAGGCCTACTTTCAGGGATGCTTGCAGAGAAGGGTCAAAAAAGGCAATTGCAACCATATCATCAAAGGCCTGTCCCTTTTTTACATGTGTCATATGTGCGCAACACACACAAAAATGAAGCAGGGCTTTGACATGCAATTATGGCTTCCATCCTGACTTTTTTTTAACCTACTCCCAAAATGTCCCCATTCCCTTCTTAACGGTAAGAGCTTTAGCTGGCAGCAAATGGGTAAAAGTAGCAAATTCAGGGTTACAGGGGGGTTAGGACATTTTTAATGTATGTTTCTGTTTTAATTATTCATGGATTTTAGCCATTGTTGGAGGGATTGGTGTTTTTTCCTTTTTTGTT